TTAGGTTAAATATCTATTTCTGGACCAATTCATCAGCAAATTTGAATCTGAGACGTAGAATTTCTTCACCACATTGAGATCTGTCGATTCTACGTCTCAATTTGCTGCAATTTTGAGTAATGAATATGAAATAGAAGTCAGAAAATTTTGTGAAAAGTTGGTAGTTTATAGATGACGTGCACCATACTCTGGAGGAGTACTCTTGATACGTACTTCGTACTATCAAGAGTGCTATTAATACATTGATCTTCATTTCTTGCCATTTACTCCACTTTCGTACCGAGTAGTAATCATAATCACTACTTGCCCATCGAAGGGAGAGGGAAAATAGCTCAATGGTAGAGCATCGGTTTCTTAACTCAAAGGTCGTGGGTTCGATCCGCGGCTTCCTCGGATTATTTCCGCAAGGATTTATCAGTCCCTCCCCTTATAACAAGGGCTGCGTACGAAGACGAGAACCGATCTCCGAAAAAGATCGGTTGAAGCACGAGGTATGAAGCGTTGAGCGAAGTAAACACCCGAAGATTACACACCGCCCCTGGTCGAGCAGGCTGGTGAAGCGTGTCACGAAGCAAGAAACAGGAGGTAGGCGTTGGTGATAGGCGTGTAGAAACTTTGCGCAGAGTGTCCAAGACAAACCAAGTGTGCGGGTCTTGAATTATAGATGACGAATCCCCAGTTTTGAAGGCTAAATATGAATGGTGATAGACTTATGTGCCTTCGCGACATGGGGAAGCCAAGCATTTGCTTGGGTCGGATTGGCACGTATTGAAAATAAAATAGCTCGAATTTTTAAAAACTTGCAAGAGAAAATCCACTACAGTAGTACTTCACTTTCAGTACTCCCGCTCGTATTATTATAAATTTTGGCCAGAGTGCAGAACGATTTTTTATTTAAATATCGCTGTTCTGAGTATATTAATTTACTCAAATCAGGGCAAATAAAATGTCAAAGTTAGGCGCTCAAACAAGGATTTGCCTAAATTTAACCTTGAAGTCAGTATAGGAAATTTACCGCTTCGTGGAAACAAAATTATTGATCTATAGAGCAATATTATATGTACGCAGTAATAATATTTTACAGGACATACTTGATTTGAAAACAGGTGATACCCTCTTTAAAATAGTACGACACACACCATAACGTTTCGAAGGTGTCAGTTGTTGCAGGCTTTTATTTTATCCAATCATATCAATTCTTGAATTTTATTGGGTAGTGCAGGCCGGCAAATCACAGATCCGTCACGTTAGTATGATACCGAGTAATGGTTACCCCCCTAC